TTCCCACCTACCAATGCCAATAAAGGCGTTCGCAAGGAGGCGTAGTTTGCTCGCATGCTCTACTTATCCGCGTTTAGAGCCACACCCACCCACCCACTTACATTCACTGCATTTCATGCAAATGCGCATCCGTATCCATTGGCTGCGTAAACCTCAAAACAGCATCCAATTTCACGGGCACCTCCGACGAACAACTACGATGTCACCCGCATTGAATGGCGAATTCGAAATGTGACGACCGTGACTTACCTCCTATCGTGGGCGGTAGGGTCACCGATGCGAATAGAGAGGCATCACTCTTCAGCCTAATTTTGATAGATGATTCAGGCCGACTAGTGGCAGAAACACCAGCAGAAATCGTTTGTCCAGCCTTCAAGCCGTGGAAAGTGTAGGATGTGTGTGCGGAGTGATAGATGAATGGCTTGACACGACCGTCGAGAAGCCATCCGATCTCGTAGCCAATGATGAGACCATAGGACTGCGCTGGAGGGTCCCATGTCATGAGTACACTGTGGGAGTCGAGTGCAACCAGTTTCACATTGGTGGGAGCAGAGAGGTCTACAGTGGGGCAAGTTGGAGCATTTGTCACAACCGCATTGTAATGCTGTGCAAATGATGGTGTGTGTGGGAATGGGAGGCATTAAAGCGGAGTTGAGAAAAATGCTCTCCTGTGATGGCACAAAAGCCGACTGGGTGGAGAGAATAGGGCGGCTGACCTCGATCTACTCCCAGGCACTCCACTGCGTCCGCCAAGGCACTGAAGTGGTTGGAGGAGAGGCGTCCACGCACAGTGACTGTAAGTGTGGTTTGGGGTTGGATTCTCATCATGACATACGATCGTTCATGCGGAGAGAGGATTGCCACTGAAGCCCACGGCTCTAGCGACACGAGACCGCCGTTCTTCATTAACACCTCATAGCCTTCGAATTGTCCCTCAACTTCTTGTGGATCGTCAATTGATATTTGCAACATGGAACCAGATGCGAGGAAGTTTGCGCTAAATGTCGGCTTGCGCATACCTGCAACAGGAGAGGGAATGTGTCGAGATGAAGGGGGTTGGCTGTAGGAGGAGAAATGCGCCTTTGGTGTTGTGGTAAGTGGGCAAAGGCTTTGGACCAAGGGGCATTACATGACGGAAAAAGAGTGGAGCATCTGAAGC